AAACAAGAAAAACTATGGAATTGGGAGGGGCGTACTAGATTTTAAAGTTCAGATTTTTTTTGTCTGGATTATAATAGGAAAGGAATGAAAAATACCATGGGATTCCGTCTCGGGCATCGGACAAGCGGGACGGTATCGCCTCACCACACCAGCTCCTTAGCGTGTGTTTGGTTCTGGGACTAGGTGGGATGGGATGAAACCATCCCTGATTTGAGGATTGGGATGATTCCATTCGGATGTTTGGTTTGTAGAATAGGACGATCCCAGTTTTTTGTTTGGTTCAAGGAACGAGGGAGGGATGGGATGAGCGCCATTTGCAACCACCGACAACGCCGTTTGCAACAACCATGGCCGACGCCGCCTCTGCCCTCACCTCCGGACGTGGTTGCCACCGGCCTCCTTGATGGCGTCGATGAGCGGCTGCGGGGGGCTCGGCGACGGCGGCGGTAGACGGCTCGGGCGACAGCGGCGGCGGCGGGCTCGGGCGACGTCGGTGGCGGTGGGCTCGGCGACGACGACGGACGAGATGACCCAACCGAGCGCTGGCGGCGATGGTGTCGGCCTTCGCGCAGAGCAGCCGCGGCTCGGCGATGACGACGGCGGCGAGGTCTGCACGGGAAAGGGAGAGGGAGAGGCCGGTGGAGAGGAGGGCAAGCACGACCACCATCGCGGTCGGGCGGGTGGAGAAGCGCGACGACGCACGGTCGGCCTTCGCGCAGAGCAGCCGCGGCTCCGCGACGACGACGGCGGCGAGGTCCGCGCGGGAGAGGGAGAGGGAGAGGCCGGTGGAGAGGAGGGCGAGCACGGCCACCATCGTGGTCGGGCAGGCGGAGAAGCTCGACGACACACGGTGGTGCTGTCGAGGAGGTCGCTACCGCCGTCGTCGAGCCCACCGCCGCCACCGTCGCCCGAGCCATCTACCGCCGCCGTCGCCGAGCCCACCGCCGCCGTCGCCGAGCCCGCCGCCGTCTCCCGAGGAAGAGCGCGCGAGCAAAGCGGCGGTTTCACGTCGTCGCTCGTCCCAGGTGGGACGAGTTCGTCCGCCAGTTTTGGCCGGACCGATTGGTCCCGGATCTGAGAGGAATATTCCTCTGTAGGGACCAACTCATCCCACTCACCCCTGAACTAAACAACTCTAAAAATGGGTTCATCCCATCCCATCCCATCCCATCCCAGCAACCAAACACTACCTTAGAGCAGGTACAATAAACTAGTTAGGCGGGTTCTAAAATATTACACGTCAGCGTATTCTTACGTGGCAGAAAGAGAATCGAAGAGAGAGAAATGCGGGCGACTATCTTGCCGCCGGGCGATAGCACGCATTTCGCTACCATGCAGCCCGCGGAGCGGTAAAAAACACTTTTTGTGGGCCCTGTGATCATCCCGTCCGGATCCCATGTACCGATGTAAGTAGTGTTTCCAGCTTGAGCTAATAAACAGGAAACCAAACACACAAATGGCCACAAGGATATATTGCACTTTTGATCGTAGATGTCTACACATGTCCATCCAAAGTTAATTATTCGATTAATAAGATGCAGCTAGCACACTATACTGGTTGATCATACAATTTACTGTAAAATGGCATGGCAGTGAGTATAGCCAGCTGCTAGCTATACTATTGACCTTGCTCTTAGCCGAGGCCGAGCCGCCTCCTCCGTGTTCGCTCTTGATACACAACTCCTGTTACGGATGTTCCTTTCCCTCATCCACACACCTTATATTACCAGCAATTTTGAGTATTTGCCCTCAAGAATCATTGGCTCATTACATGGCGGAGTGGTTCGAGCAGCTATAGCCAGCCGTGATTGGGGAAGAGGAGTGTGGAGAGGAGATTAGCTTATGGCGTGAGGGAGGACCGGAGGAATGGTTTCACGGGGCTGAGAAAAAAGATGTTCTTAATGGCTGACACGTGGACCCAACATGCAAATATGGTAACAAAACCTGGTCTAATGTGAAAACACTTGCCATTGCCTGGTCCAACGTGCAAATAGGGTAATAAAAGCTGGTACAAAGTGCAATTCAGTCAATTTGTAATTTTAAAAATACTATTCCAAAGCTTATTTCCAAATCTAAACCTTTCACATCAGTCTAGGGCCGAGTTTAGATCCAAAATTTTTCTTCAAACTTTTAACTTTTCCATCACATCAAAACTTTCCTACACACATAAACTTCCAACTTTTCCGTCACATCGTTACAATTTCAACCAAACTTTCAATTTTTACGTGAACTAAACACACCCTAGATATGTGATGGGGAAACTAGCCCGCTGGCCATTGAAACTATTCAGTACCTCCTGGAGATCAATGCTCTCACATCTTATAGCCACTACCGAGCTCTTGCTTTGGTTCACTTGTAGGCCCGTGGCTTGCCAAAAATCTTGCAACATAGTAATCAGGTTATTTACATCTACTCGGCATGGGTTTAGAAAGATTGCCACACCATCGGCGTATAGTGATATTCTGAACTTCACCACTATACTTGTTATGGGTGATAGGATGTTTTGGTATGTAGCCATGTTGAGTAGTCTTTGTAAGGGATCAACGCTAATATGAAAATATACGGTGAAAGAGGGTCCCCTTGGCATAATCCCCTTCTGTGTGTATTGCCTGTCCTGCTGTTCCATTCAACATTCATCTAGATGAAGTAGTTGACAACATCAGAGCAATCCAGTCTTTCCATCGTGTATTGAATCCTCTCCATTGTACCATTCCAACAAGTATGGGAAAGTTTCATGGTGCTCTTTTCAACAAGCATTCACATGATATGGAGTCAAAAGCCCTTTCAACAAGTATGCATGGTGCGTCGTCCCCGCACCAGGCGACCCGGAGGCGACCGACACCATAGTGCCGCTACCCTCTTCCCCCCATTTCCCACCCTGCCGCTGTCGGAAACCAAGCAGCTAGCCAGGATGGTGGCGGCGGGGCTCGGTTTTGGTCCCCCCTCCCTCAGGCGTGGGGAGAGGGTGGCCAGTGGCGGAGACCACAGAGGGGCCCGGATCGCGGCAAGGGTGAGAGGAGCTCCCGCTCGACGGCGGGGGCGCGTGGCGGAGGACCCACTTCTCCGATGCTCCTTCAAAATTTGGGAGCGGACTCCTCTCTCTGCTCCTAGACTTGGCGGTGGTGGTGGCCGGGGTTGGCGAGTGGTGGAACGGCGGCACCGACAACGAGGGCTCCTCCTAGGCCGCGGGCTGCCACGGCGATGGGGGTTCTCTCTGGTCCATCAAGCTCGTCGAATGCCTCAATGCAACAACTTTGACACCTAAGGAGGGCCTTCGGGAAATTGGAGCTGCTGCATTGAGGCATTCAACAAGCTCGACAACGATGACTAGTAGCTTTGCTTGGTTTTGGGCAGGGTCTTGTTGTTGTCCTCTAGAAAGTCGGAGCTATTTCGCGTTTGTGAGCTTGGCAACGATGACCAAAGTTGGACCTCATCACCTGTGTTTCGCCCTGGTGTGAGGTTACAAGCTTTCCAGTCTGCAAGGTTTGTCAATCAGACTCGACCTTGTTTTAACAAGACTAGTGGTTGTGAAGTCGGAGCTGTGGCGTCGGCGAGGCTTGACGTGTGACAACGATGTCATAGGCCTAGTGGAGTTGCGCTTCGGCATGGGCTAAGTTGTTGTCCTCACCCTGGTGTTTCCTGGCGAAGTGGGAGCCACCCAAGTGTTGGTGTGATGATAATAACGTTGCGTCTTTACCAGTGTGTGGGAGATTAGCTTGTTGCCTGTTCATGTGAACGGCTTTTGTTGAGGTATACTCGGTTGTTCCGTTCTCGCTTCTTTGGTAGCTTAGATTAGTTGGTGATGTGTCATGATAGTTGTGGTTTTTGTTTAGTTTTTCCTAATTAATTGTGTATTATATGGCTTGGTCTCGTTCTCTTCTTAAAATGTGGTACTTCTTTATATAAAACGTCGGCAACGACCATCTGTTCGAAAAAAAACAAGTGTGCATGGTGTTGTCTACTAGTAGTAGAAAATAATCTAAACCATTAATCATTTTCTATTTAAGGGGTTATATTTATTTATATTATGGTCGGTTTAATGGTATTAAAAGCAGGTATAATAGTCCAATAAAATATAAGCGTGGAGGGGTAAAATTATAATTATAACTAAAATAATATTAATTAGACCATACAGATTTTTGGGTCGTGCTGGGCCGGTTGTGCGGGTGGGACGGCGCAGTTCCATAAGTGACGAGCAGAAGACGGCGAGCTCGTGCAATTGCTAGCGGGCCGCAGCAGCGCGCTCAACAACGGCTGATTGGCTACCGGATGCGTCCATTGAAATCTTTGGGCACTTCTTGGGAAGGTTCACAGTTCAACTCGACATGCAAACTACGGGACGTGGGGTGGGATATGGGATCGGAGATAGGGAAGTTAATTTTATTATCGAAATAAATCGTTATTCCGATAACGATGGGAGCGGGATGACGAGACGTGGGACGAGGTGGGCTTAGACTAATACATGTTTGGCGCTCGGAATACTGAGGAATGCGTTGCGCCCCTAATAGAAGTACTAAATATTTTGTATAATATTTTTTTCTGTATCACTTTCATAAGCAACCACATATATTATACACAATAATAACTATGGTCAAAATTAACTTATGTTTTTTTCGTGGGGAAAAAATTAACTTTTGTTAACTACACAGATTCTAAAAGTACAATATCATTTGTGACTGGATGGAGTAGCAACTTCGTGCAAAACCTTCAATGATTTCAAAGAGCACGGTGTAACAGCCAAGTATTTCAAAGAACATTACTACTGTAGTCTTGTGCCTATCTGCATTGCACCGAAACAGGGGAAAAGAGAAGAAAAGGGTAAACAGGCTAGTTCTTCGAAGCTTGAAATGGCATTGCACTGATCAAAAACTGCCTGGCAAGCCACACCGAACTGTCAGAGATACATACATTGATTTCATTCCCAAACGCTTCCATCCATCCAAACTTCTGAAAACAGTCTTTGTACAAATCCTCTTGGAAACCTCAAAAGGCTTCTTGATTCATGGTCGAGGCTCCATGACGCTGATCGTCACGCTGTTCACAGAGTAAGCCGACGGCGAAACGCCGGCCGCCGCCGCCGCGACGAAGCCGGGGGTGGAGGGCTCCTCCAGCTCCTCCTTGCTGCCGAGCACGCCGTGGACCCTGTCCATGGAGGGCCTCACGGAGCGGTTGCTCTGGACGCAGAGGAGCGCGACGTGCACGCACCGTGACGCCTGCTGCACCTGCTCGTCGTTCACCAGGCCGAGATGGTCACCGTCCAGCATGTCTTCAACCGTACGCCTCACAAAGTGTTGCCATGCCTGTTGAATATATGAGTCAGTTTTTACAGCTTTTCATTGTCCTCGAGAATACTCTGGAGTATTCTAATCAGATTCGTAAGTACAACCTTCCTTTTAGTCATAAAACGTCTTTAACTTTGGTCAAAATCAAACTACTTTAAGTTTAACTACATTTATAGACAAATATAGTAATATTTATAATACCAAATTAGTTTTATTAAATCAATAATTGAATATATTTTTATAATATGTCTTGAGTTGAAAATGCTGTTTTTTTTTCTACAAACTTAGTCAAATTTGAAGCAATTTGACGTTAAAACGTCTTATAACCGAAAACAGAGGGAGTACTGGTTATCTATATTTTGGAATAGAGAGGGTATGTTTGTTTCTTTGAAACTTGATCCTAAAGCCTCCCCATCCCCTAACATATTCTTCGAGATGCTGCCATGTCAGTTCAGATAGCATCAAGGAGAAGAAGAAACAAATATCATGATATTACTTACATATTCTACGAGGCCCGTGCAGTTATCGTTGTCGAACTTGCTGGTGCTCTGACCAACTATGATCTCCAGAGTCATCACGCCGAAACTGTACACATCCGATTTGGTAGAGTATTCCCCTCCCGCATACAGTTCTGGAGCTATGTATCCACTTCAGTGAGAAACAGTGAAACCAATAAATCCTTGTGGTATTTTTTCCTTTTGAAAAAAAAAGGAAACAGTTACACTCGCATATATAGTGGACATCAACCCTTAAAATTGTGCCCTTCTCAACCTTGAATCAAATTTAGAGCAGTTTTGTTTAACGTGGTGCTGAACCCTAAATTAACCCTTTTATCGTATGGTCATGACAAATCAAGATTTCACTACACGCATTATACAATGTCATCCTTTTGAGAACAGAGGCAGTAATACGAACATATTTTCCTTTTAATAATGTTTTAAAGATATCTACTAATTTATAATTAAAAATATTTTTAGCCATAGTCCATAGAACAAATCACAACATCAAAGCCTCGCCATCCTAAACAACTTTAAATTTTGACAAGGTCAAAAATCTCACTGTATAAGTTAATGTTTAGACGCTCATGAAAGGTCAGGATTGTAAAATCAATCTTTGTGTTAAACAGGACAAGGTTAAAGCTGCTGTTAGGTCTGGCTACCCCTTCTCTAAAATTATGAATAAAATAAGTACACAAATATCATACTCCCTCATTTTCAAATTGATCATCTATAATGAAAACCAAATTTTCTCAAATTGATTATCATATAATTGCATGGGCACGGATTACATCCAGCACGGGAAAATGTATGCATACTAAGGATGTAATTGTGCATTGTGTTTTTAATCAATACATGCATTGTGGAAGAATATGTGCATATTGTGCATGGTATCTTGATCGATGTGGTTTAAATTATTCTTGGTCTTGATACACAAACACTATATGATGATCAATTTGGGATGGAGGGAGTATTAGAGTATGTTTGTGCACGGTAAAATTGTGAAGAATAGGATTCTTTGTCTAATGTACAAAAGACAAATAACTTGCACAAGGATAGGAAAAATACTTGCCTTTTTTTTTGTCCAGTGTATATATGGTCATATTTTTACAGTTTTTTCTAAAATAATTTTAACATCAACAATCAACATGCCCTACATCTACATTTTTTCTAAGGTATACAAAATGCAAATTCAGAAAGAGGCGTAGCACACTGGAGACTAGCATTGTTTTACTCTTGTGTTAACATAGTTGACTTGCATACTGTGCGTGAACTGAAATCACGTGTCAATTGGTCATGATATTTAACAGATCACTAAGGCACCGAATTAAAATGTGCAACAAGTGACACGATGAAAACCCATAAACATATTTTAAAAAATAAAAGAAATATGAGATCAAAGATAGCCAGGATATAATGAATTGAAGGTTGGTACTCAAGTCTATACGTGTTGCCCAATTGCCCAAATGACATTCGAAATATTTCAGGAACATTAGCGATTTTATCTCTTTTTTCAATAATGAAAAAATTGATCACACATTTTTGTTAAGGGGACGTATTAGCGGGTGTAATACTAAAAAAAAAAAGGAATACCGTGCTTCACACATGCATGCTCATGAGAATTAAACAGAGTTGCTAGAACATACTGGGTGCCTGCTCTCTTTTGAGTGCTCTCATGGCTTTTGTTCCGGTCGTATGGTCTTGCAAGATCAAAGTCAGCAATCTTTGCATTGAAGTTGGAATAAGGAGGACATTGGAAGGTTTGAGATCACGATGGACGATGTCCTTCCCAGAATCTCTGTGGAGATAAGAAAGGCCACGAGCGATCCCTCTGATGATGTTAAGCCATTTTGGCCAGTCCAGCTTCTGACAGTCGGCTGAACCTACAAAATCACCATGAAATTCATTCAGACCTGCATCCCCTGTGGTCTTATGCTTGATTTATAGTGCAGTACTCCTGATCTATAGTGTAGTACTCCGTTATCTTTTACTTGTCATTTGAAACATCAACATACCTGCCATACGCATGGTTGATCATTGTTTTAGTCCTCAAATATATTAAATATATAATTAATTACTTCCAGTGCAAACATATTTCAGGACAGGTCAACTGATGTTGTTTTCAGATAGCAAATCTAGCAATATCATTTTCACATGTCAAATCTATTTTGTTTTTGCATATATTAGTGAGTTAGATTTTTGAGATTTGAAAATGCAACGGCATGTATTTGAGAACTGGATAACAAGCTAAAATGCATACATTTGAAATAGCGGCTCAGAGTCCCGTTGCTCAGGTATTCGTAGACGAGGAACATTTTGTCGTGCCGGAAGCAGTGGCCCAAGAACTTGACAATGTTCTCGTGCTGAAGCTGCGCCACCAGGGAAACCTCCCTTTCCACTTCTCTCAAATCTTTTCTGGTGAGTTTCTTCACGGCTATTTCTTCATTGTTATGCAATATCCCCTGTGCGTAATTTGTGCAACAAAAAGAACTTGAAGTTATCCGTTGTAAAATACTCCTCCCTATGGGTCCATCCAATTCCGCCCAGTTATAGAAGGTGCCGCACATATAAATCTTGAGAAGTACTTTTTCTCTGGGAATATAAAATCATCTTCCTTATTAGTATAAAGAAGCAAAGTTTTCTCTTGTGATGAAATTAACAGTTAACAGCTACAAAACCAGTAATGTCGTACGGAAATACTCCAAACTAACTATATATAAACCAACTTACACGGTTTCTGTGAACTAAACAGACACATATGATCTAGCCAATTGTTCATCCAAACCAACAAATCTGAGTTTTTAAATACATGCGTACATGCATGCCTTAACGAAATTGGATACGTACGGGAGTGCTCTCAAGGCAATTGGACCACCTTGATATGATTTACTGAGTAAGATTAATAAAGCTTACTTTTATCTAAAAGAAATGAAATTGGACAGAGGGATATGCATGACAACATTATTGTAGTAGATTGATTGACCACATAAAAAAATTGGGAATATTATTGTAACACCTGCGGAGGTTCAGGGCAGGCAACCATGAAGAATATGACGGTGTTCGATCGGATTACCTTGTAGACTGTGCCACAGCCACCAGATCCAAGCTTATTTCGCTCTGCGAATTTACCTGTCGAGTTCACCAGAGTCTGGTAACTGTAATTACCGCTCACTGATGATGAAATTTCACCGTGGTTAACTACTAGGAGTGCTGCTTAATTATTATAGGGATGGCAATGGAATTGATCGAATGTGCCATGAAATTAGAAGGGCCAACGCGAGCGCCGCGAGAGCGGCAAACCCAGGCTGCCCAGCGGAAATGGCGATCGTTCGAGCTCGAGCAGGACGGTGGCCTGGTGATGGTGGAGCGGCTGCGGGCGGGCCGGCGCCTCCACCGGCCGGGGCGATGGCGAGGTGGGCGACGGGGAGGAGCGGCGACGACTGGTTGAAGAAGAGGGAGCTCCCGTAGCGCAGCATGCAGCTGGAGCGAAGCAGTTGCATCCCGGCGGCGGTGGAGTTGAAGTCCTCCGAGAGGCGGGACAGCGCGCCGCGGAGGCACCTGGCGCAGTCCGGCGCCGGGATCTGGGTGGTGCACTGCGCCAGCCCGTACAGGCTGCCGCCGCCGCCGTAGGACGCTATCCCGGCGGCGGTCCTCGACCTGCTCGCCGGGGCGGCGGCCGCCACCGTGGCGAGCAGGCGGGTGGGCACCTCCTCGGCGACGGTGAGGCCGCTGCGCCCGCCGTCGAACACGGTCGCCGTGTGCTCGTCGACGTCGAAGCCGGTGAAGTCGTCGCCCTTGGCGAAGCGGAGGAGGCAGCGGTCGTCGTAGCGCACCGCGGCTTTCTCGCACAAGTCGTCTCCGCTCCCGCCGATGACTCCGAGGCAGGCGGCGAGGCACCGCGAGCAGTCCCCCGCGGGCACGTCGGCGCGGCACTGCGCGAGCGCGTAGTACTCCCCGTCGCTAACCACGCTCGAGGACCTGTCCGCCGTCGCAGCGGTGGCCGCCTTGACGGCTTCGGAGGCAGTAGTCTGCCGGACCAAGTAGAACGGCCCGCCGCCTGGGTGTTGTCGACGCCGGAGCAGAGGGAGAAGGTGGCGTTGCCATAGCCGTCGCCGGCGGGCTGCGCCACCGCACGCAGAGAGGCGAGAACCACCACTGCGGCAGCCGTGAGAAGCTGCTGATGGGAAGCTGCCATGGCCCCGTCGCCTGGCAGTCGCATAGCTGCTGATGAGTGCCGTGACTGTGCTCCACTGCTGGATCGCGGTTGGTTGGTCAAAAAGTTTACATAACGCGTTAACAGAGGCTACCTTTTCACGTTTCCCAAGTTCTGTGAAGGTCGCTGTTGTACCAATTTGAGGCCCTGTATAGATGGGACTAAAACTTTTAAGTCCCTATCACATCGGATGTTTGAAAATTAATTATAAATATTAAACGTAGACTATTAATAAAACCCATCCATAATCTTGGACTAATTTGCGAGACGAATCTAATGAGCCTAATTAATCCATGATTAGCCTATGTGATGCTACAGTAAACATTCTCTAATTATAGATTAATTAGGCTTAAAAAATTTATCTCGTGAATTAGCTTTTATTTATGTAATTAGTTTTGTAAGTAGTCTATATTTAATACTCTAAATTAGTGTCTAAAGACAGGGACTAAAGTTAAGTCCCTGGATCTAAACACCACCTGAGTCCCCCGTGAAAATTTTACCCCATGTCAAATCAAATGTTCAGGGTGTGTGTAGTTCAAGCTAAAATTGGAAGTTTGATTGAAATTGAAACGATGTGATGGAAAAGTTGAAAGTTTGTGTGTAGGAAAGTTTTAATGTAATAGGAAAAGTTAAAAGTTTGAAGAAAAATTTGAGAACTAAACCAAGGCCTTAGACATATATATATAGAGTATTAAATATAAACGAAAAAAATAACTAATTATACAGATTGCGTGTAAATTGCGATATGAATCTTTTAAGCCTAATTGTACCATAATTTGACAATATGGTGTTACAGTAAACATTTGCTAATGACGGACTAATTAGGTTTAAAAAATTCGTCTCGCGGTTTATAGACGGATTCTGTAATTTATTTTGTTATTAGACTATGTTTAATACTTCAAATAGATCTATGGCGGCACAAATAGGCAAAGCTAAATGAGAGGATATAGAGATATCACCAACGATGAAGTTCACGGAGTTGTTCCCAGAGTTCAAATCCTTGAGGGGATTCTACTCTCCATTGAGGAGCTCACTAAGAGTCGGGTCTTAGCTAACACTTTTCTCAAGAGGTTGCACTAAGCACTATTCCTTCCACTAAGGGGTATCTCTTTTCTTGCGGAGGCGAGATCCGGCCTTCACAAACTTCTCCCGACCAACCACACGTAGATCGGTGGCTCGGGAGTGACACCTAGTAAGCTTACCCTTGAGTTCATGAGACCGCTCTTTTTCACGAATGAGTAATGCCTCTTGCCTCTCAAGGGTTGCATACTGATCCTCAATTCTCCCAAGAAACTCACTCAAGTGTGGTAGAGATTCCTTGGTTATGGACTTGAACAATTCCTCATCCATAACCTCATCCTGAACATCATCCTCCTCATCACTAACAAGATCAACATTGAATGACTTGAGGGAGGAAGGTACCTTAGGCTTCTTTGCCATGAGGCAAATGGGAGCATCCTCATCACTTGAGTAGTTGAAGAGTCTCGGTGCTGATGAAGGCTTGACGGCGAACGTGGCAACTCCTTCTTCATTACTTGAGCTTGACTCGGAGTCAGAGCCAAAGATCATCCCAAGGTGAGATTGGCCATAGTGATCATGCTTGCTATGCTTGTGTTTCTCCTTCTTCTCAACCTTCTTCTCAATCTTCTTCTTTTCTTCATTGATGTGGGGGCAATCTGCGATGAAGTGCTCGGGCTCTTTGCACATATAGCACACTCTTGCGGAGTGTCTTCCACTTGACTTGTTGGAGTAGTGCTTGGAAGAACTTCCCTTGAAGAAGCCGCTTCACCTCATAAACTTGCCGAACTTTTTGACAAAGAGAGCCATCTCTTCATCATCGATCTCCTCCTTGCTCTTGCTCTTGCGGCTCTCTTCTTCTTCTTCTTCCTTCACCTTCAACGCCAAGTCTTCCTTCTTGATGCTTGTGGTTGAGCTTTGGTTGATGAATTGGATGACCTCCTTGGACTCTTGTTTGAGCATGTCATGGGCAAGGGTATGCCCGAGCAAGTCATAAGGTGTGAGAGTCTTGTAGTCCGGACGCTCACGAATTATGGTTACCAAGATAGAGTTCCTTGGAGTGATTGCTCGAATCATCTTTTTGACCACAACCTCATCGATCATGTCCTTGGAGCCAAATCCCTTGATCTCATTGACAATCTTGTTCAATCGATCATACATGTCGCTTGGGCTCTCACCATCCAATATCACAAACCGCTCAAATTGCCCCTTGAGGATCTCCACCTTGGACTCGCGAACACTATCCGTGCCTTCATGCAAATTCCGAAGCGTGTCCCAAATCACTTTGGCACTCTCGATGTCGTCCACACGGTTGAACTCACTTCCACTCAAGGCGCTAAGTATTGCATTAGCTGCTTGAACGTTCTTGTGCTCATTCTCGTCATCTTCGTTTGTGGGATCCTCGGGTTTCTGCAAAACATAGCATTTTTTGACTATTCTCTAAATAGAAGGGTTAATAGACTTCAAATGCATCTTCATCTTATGTTTCCAAGCGGCATAGTCTATACCATTGAAGCACGGAGCTTTGCCGCTATAAATGCTCACATAAGATGTAGATGTAGAAAGATAGTCATAAGGGACCGTAGCTCCCTTATCACATTCCTTGCCATCACCCGTTTGACCCGACATGATCTCTCCAAGCGGTTAAGCCTAATTAGGAGATTAGGCTCTGATACCAATTGAAAGGGTCAATTAGGCCTAGAGAGGGGTGAATAGGCTAATTTAAAACTTTATACGGAAGCTAAATGCTGAAACTAGATAGGAAAGTCTGATCCACAGTTAGACTATCCGAAAATACCAGATAATCTGATGTTGGATCAGACTGTCTGATCCACAAGTGAACCACAAAATAGATCTATCACACAAACAAGAGTATAAGCGCGAACAACAACTAGATCTATGGCGGCACAAATAGGCAAAGCTAAATGAGAGGATATAGAGATATCACCAACAATGAAGTTCACGGAGTTGTTCCCGGAGTTCAAATCCTTGAGGGGATTCTACTCTCCAATGAGGAGCTCACTAAGAGCCGGGTCTTAGCTAACCCTTTCCTCAAGAGGTTGCACTAAGCACTCCTCCTTCCACTAAGGGGTATCTTTTTCCTTACGGAGGCGAGATCTGGCTTTCACAAACTTCTCCCGGCCAACCACACGTAGATCGGTGGCTCGGGAATGACACCTAGCTGTCTAGGAGTCCTCAACCTCCAAGAGTAATAAACACCACACAACTCTTGGTCAAACCCTAGTGCTCAAGATCGAGTGAAACACACACTAGGCCCTCAAACACCAAATCCACAACCACCAAGATTCACCACACAAAGAACAAGGAGGGATTTGAGAGAGGGAAAAAGAGCTCAAAGATCCAAAGCACCTTAACACCAAGCTCAACCCAAAGTGAATGAGAATGAATGAGTTGGGTAACCCTAGAAAAGGGTTAGGTGGAGGGTATTTATAAATCCCAAAATGTGGCCATTGGGAGAGAATCTTTTCATCCCACCTCGGACTTTCCGAGGTGACATCGGATAGTCCGATGTTTTTGGCCCCCAAGCAAGCCAGAGACAGAGAACGAAATTCTGGAGAATTTTGGACAATTCGATCGATCGGATAGTCCGATGTCGTATCGGATATTCCATTATTTTTGAAGCAAGAATTTCATCCTCTCACAGAGACTCAAGTTCCATTGAATTTCGGAGTCTCTGGGTCATCGGATACTCTGATCACATCGGATAATCTGATTTGAAAATCACTCAAGAGGAATAAAAACAATTCAAAACAGAGAGTGAAGTTCTGAGAAATTTCAGATAGTCCGATGTATCAGACAATCCGACCTTATATCGGATAGTCTGATATTTTTTAGACAATACTCAGACCAAAGACAGAATAAAGTTCTGTGAAATTTCGGATAATCTGAGCATCGTATGGTCTGATCAAAATCGGATAGTCTGACAGGAATAAAACAAGAACACTTCAAATAAAGGATTTTGAGCACTAGTGTTCTACCAATTATATGCATGTGGTATCCTTCTTAATAGTATGTCATCCTAATACTCAAGAACACAAGATATACATGGTTTAGAAAGACGATTACCACAAGATGCCGCAATGTTTTTAAACTCAAGTTCCACTCCTTTTTATCCTTGCATTCATCTCAACAAAAAGCATTAGTGAACCTCTAATTGTGTTGTCATTAACACCAAAATAATTGAGGGGTCCTAGATGCACTTTCAGAACTAAACACGGCTTTAGTCTTGGTGCATAAACATATATGATAATCAATTTGGGAATGAGGGAGTATATATGTTAGCTTTAACATATATAGTAATAATAGGTTAGCTAAGGTTATCTTTATTTTTTTCATCCTTATAGCTAACCTATTTTTTTCATCCAGGCATGAGAAATGTATATGGGTGAAGTAGTCTTTATGGGTGAGCCCAATGTCAGTAGAAATTAGCTATTTTTGTTTTCACAATGGATGAAGCATTATGTGGTGCCCACTAGCAAATAAAAAAGTAGGCAGCAATCAACTAAATTAGGAGAGAGATAGAGTAGCAGCTAGGAGAGACAAGAGTAGATTTTTTTTATTCTTTGTGCGAGGTCCTTATGCATATGACTACCTCAACCAAAGGATTGCTATAAGGACCACTCTTACAAATGTATAAGTAGGCCATATGAGCTTAATACCCTCTCCTATTTCCACATTGTGGATGCCCTATGGCTTACCCCTTATAGCTTCTTGAATATTAGGAATATAAAATAAAGTATTTTAGAAGGAATATATATGTATAAAACATAAAATTGTAAAATACAATAAAAATACAGATGTAGTTGTTTATGCTGCGTTCTTTAGCAAGGTTCTCAACTCCCCACTCTCGTTTTCTGCGCGCACGCTTTTCAAAATGCTAAATGGTATGTTTTTTGCAAAAGGTTTCTATATAAAAGTTGCTTAAAAAAATCATATTGATCCATTTTTTTAAAAAAAATTAGCTTAAACTTAATTAATCACGCGCTAAATGCTGCTTCGTTTTGCGTGCCAGGGAGCGAGGGTCCCGAACACAGCCTTAAATAAACTGTACAAAAATGTAGGAATCGAATAAAATATATAAACTCAAAGGAATCCAAAAGTTGAAGCTTTAGCTAGTTTTCATGCTTAATCTCTATAGAGTTGTTTATTTCATAGAAAATTTAAAGTAAAATGTAAGGTGCAATCATTAAAGGTCATCGAGTGCCCCAAAATTATTGGTCAACCGCGCTAGTGATGAGTAGTGACTGGAATTTTTGTCAAAGGTTCACACGTTCGTCGCCGTCGGGTGCCCCGTCCGGCAGTGATCGTAGACCGACGGTCGCAGGACTTGTGACTAGTGTAATACGAAGGTTATTCCTCGTTACCGATTCATTTCGGCTTCCCTTGAAATGGAGAAATTTTGTTGGAATACCACCTGGTCAAAGAAAGGCTCCATTTTAAATTATCGAGTGGATTATATTATATAGATTTAAAATTTTAAGAAATAAATTTTGCAAATAGCTCGGAAGAAGTGGTATAAACAATATAGTAGAAGGTTTTTTTAAACCCCTTTTGAGCTTAAAATATTTAAATTTTAGAGTGGATGACGGGCAATTCGTTGCTTAAACCAGTATTGGTAGGGTATAGTAACACGTTTTTTTAGTTTTCTTGTGCCCCCTCCCAAAAAAAATATATTCTTCCAAAGTAGAAAAATCTATACCCACTAGTATTACTGTCGCTTGGTTACTGGTGCACTTATGCCTCATTTTCTCTACAAGTGGCTATCTCACATTTTGTCATATGTATAACTAGTGTATAAAAAAATATCTTTGTGCCCTGATCTGTCCTCCCTAATCTTTGTGCCCTGTCTTACATGTGATTGAAAATAAGTCTATTTCATCTCCTTGAAGTTCGTGCTGTGTCGGGTCGGCCCACCATGTCAAGCCATAGGCCCAGGCACAGCCCAATAGCCGGGCCGTGCTGACACGGGCCCAACAGCGACCGGGCCGTGCTTGGGCCGGGCCAAAATCCTGTGCCGTGGGCTGGGCCATTGTGCCTCAGGCCTTATGGCCAATTATATCCCTGTCCGCCGGCCTTGAAGAGTAGTATATATGGTGTTCGCTGGCCTCCAAGAGTACTTCCTCCGTCCAAAATATAAATATTTTTAGCATAATGATAAGTCAAATATTTTTAACTTTGACTATTAATACAAAATAAAAATGATCAATCATGTAAAATTTATGTTAGTAGATTTATCATTAAGCAAACTATCATAATATGCAACTCTTACAGATATTGTTGGTTAAAGTAGCATCTCGTTGACCGTGTCAGAGTAAAAAAAATATTTATATTTTAGGAGAGAGAGAGAGAGAGAGCAGTATATATGGCCGTGGTGCTTCACACGTCACACTTCACACGAGTCACAACCTTGCCCATCCAGCCGGCAGCCATCCCCGCTCTACGTCCGCTAGATATAGTTGCTCCATGCCCCACTAGATAGTTCCTCGTTGCTACTTTTTGTTATGTTATGTTGCACTTGATTGAACGAACAACTCTATAATAAGTTCTTGTAGCTTCTTTGAAGCAAATGCAGATTCTATTGAATTATGTAAAAAAAAATCATACCTTTTAGCAAAATTTGCATATTATGTATATTAAGCTTGTGGAATTTTGGAAATTTGGAGCCCTGCACACACCTGGCATGATCGCCGGCGCCGGCAGGCTCCGTAAATATCGTCACGATCAGCATGCTGGAGCCTCCATGTATCTGATGAATTGTTACATCTCCAGGTATCTGATGTCAAAATGAGTTTTTACAGCTTCTACAGCTTCAGGCAAAAGAAGCGGATTCAGTAACACAAGTCATGCATGCATGTACTGATTTCCACTTCAGTTTGAAAGCAAGAATTTTGAAGATCGTTATCTAAAAACTAAATTTCGGAGAGGATTTTACATGACTGCTACAAATTAGCATCTAGTAGCAACGTAACCATTGTATGAGAACAAGCCTACTGCCAATTCCCAAACTAATACAAAGTTTGGATGGAAGCGTTTGGGAATAAATGTTTATCTGACAAAACTTGCTATGTCTAGACATGCAGTTTGCCATGTTCTTTCGTTCATGTCAGCTTATTTGCCCTATTCTCTTAATTTTCCCTTGTTTCAGTGCATTGCAGATAGGCACAAGAAGCACTACAATACTGCACAGTTTGGATAGGAACAAAAGGAAAACAATCACCTTTCTTCTCAGGAGAGAGATCTAGAGAGAACAAAGAAGGGAAATAGGAGAGGTAGGTAGGGGTGGGCGTTCGGTCTGACCGAAAAATTCAGTCTCGGTCTTCGGTTTTCGGTCATTTCGGTCATTGAAAACTCAGGACCGAATTTCATCCGAAAAAACTCAGGACCGGTAAATTCGGTCTCGGTTTTTTCGGTCTCGGTCTGACCGAAATCACTGGAGAAGTTCGCCGGCTCGGCGGCAAGCACTGGAGAAGGCCACGCCGCTGCACCTGCACGCCAGGCGCGCCGCGGACGGCGGCGCTCGTCGGGGCCGTGGCGGAGGCGGCCTAGCTGGAGGCAGCGCCGATGCGGACGGCGGCGCTCGTCAGGGCCGCGGCGGCCGGCTGGAGGCGGCGCGAGGCGGACGGCGGCACTCGTCGGGGTCGCGGCAGCCGGCTGGAGGAGGCGCAAGGCGGACGGCGGCGCTTGTCGAGGTCGCGGCGGCCGGCTGGAGGAGGCGCGAGGCGGACGGCGGCGATTGTCGGGGCCGCGGCGGAGACGGGATGGCTGGAGGCGGCGCTCGTCGGGCCGCGGCGGAGGCGGACGGCGGTGCTCGTCGGGGCCGCGATGGAGGCGGGCTGGCCGGAGGCGGCGCCGACGCTGTGGATGCCCGCGGCGTGACACGCGATGGGGATGGATCGGAGGCGGAGGCGGCGCGATGGATGGGGTTGACGGCCACGTGAGGACTGAGTGGTAGTGGTGGCTTTTAGAGTTTAGCAATTTAGTGGGCTTATTGGGCCTCCTAGGTCTATTGGGCCACAATTCGGTTTTCTCGGTTAATTCGGTTAACCAAAAACAATAACCGAATTGCCCGAAAAAAATTCGGTCTTTCCATAGCTGAGACCGAATTACTAACCGAATTTCTCGGTCTCGGTCTTTTCGGTTTCGGTCTCGGTCTTTTCGGTTCGGTTCTTCGGTTCGGTCTTATTCTGGCCACCCCTAGAGGTAGGAACGTAGCTGAAGTCATGAACCGCCCAAAGACTCTGTTTCTTGTATCCTTCTATAAAACTCAAAGGCAGAGAGAGAGAGAGAGAGAGAGAGAGAGAGAGAGAATGGACTACAGCAAGCAAGGCTCATGGGACTCGTATTCATCACAAGGCAAGATTAATTGATCCTTTTTTCATCATCACTTGATCAATTCTTCTTTGGGGTTCTTGCAACATGGTCTTAATTACCACTTCCCTGCATGCATGGCTTTATGTTCTTTGAGTAATAAATCACAGGAACTCATCTCTACTCAATATGTTTTTTTTTTGTTGCATGTAGTTCATTTGGATTGCAAATTCAGTTTTTTAGAGTTCATGAGTGCAACTTCCATGGAGAGATCATTGTTTCTCAAGTTTAGCTGGAGTTACTTTCATTTCTCGGCTAAATTATTTGTTCATTCATCTCTCTCCTTTTCTTTCCATCACTTGTAGAGAGGCTGCATCAGGCTTCCACCTTGCCAAAACCACTCATTTTTCCCTTCCTAAATCTTTGTCCTAAAACTAAAGTTTTTTCTTCCTTCTTTTTTAATAACTTGACACATTTCTTTCAGTGCACAACTTGTATCCATACCCTCAGCCAAGGGTGTATCCACCACCACCGGTTTCAGAGGGCTATGGCTACCAGACCTACTTTGGTGAAGATAACCAAGAAGCTTCTTGTGGCTGGTCACAACAACAACCATCTGCACCATCAGATGGGCCTTACAACTATGGCTACAATGAAGATCCAGACTGCCTCACTTTCTTAAGAGGATGGTACACTTATACTTGCTACACCTGACATATATATAACTTGGCTCATATGATGTTTTTTTTTAAAAAAAAAATCCGAAATCTGTTCTTGGGATGGAAAAGAAAAAAAAAATTCTGTTGCAACGGACGGGCACTCTCTGATAGCTGCTGCTTCATGATGCCTTTGGTTGCAGCTTGGCAGGGCTCTGCTGCTGCTGCTTGCTGGAGCGATGCTGCTACTTCTGATACCATCGTCAGCCAAGAATGGATGTGCTTCAGCTGGATATATAGTTGTCTTGGATTATATTTGTAAGGTTAGGTTGTTGTGCCTATATGGATGTAGTACTCCCCTCTAGTCACAAATAAATGTCGTTTTTTATTTTGTTTTAAAGTAAATAATTAGACAGAACTTTGATGGTTTGACCGCATAATTGTTTTGCAAAAAAAAAAGTTGATAATATTATGAAAGCTTTTGTCATAACAAGTCTAGCTATATCAATTTCATATGCCTAAAACATATATTCTGTGTTATAATCCTTGTCAAAATTACCTTGGTGGTTACACTAGTATAGGTCAGCCTACAAACCCGATTTGAGTGCAATCCCTAGGATCGAATCTGGATTTTACACCGAAGATTTTTTCCATTGTAGGATCAAGGAGGCCGACTAGAGGAGGGGTGAATAGGCGGTTCTAAAACTTAATGGCACTTAAACAAAACTAACCTAAGTTGCTAGGCAAGGTAAGGTGCAAGGTTAACTAAGCAACTAAGTTAAGTTTTGCAAACCTAGGTGATATGGGCTCAAATATATCTCTATAAATGTAAATAGCACAAATGTAAATACAACAAATAAATGAGACAAGAGACAAGGAATTTTTCACCGAGGTTCGGAAACTCGCCGGTTTCCTAATCCCCGTTGAGGCGAGCCCAACTCCACCGCTCAACCACGAAGCCACCGCACGCCCCCTTCGTCAAGAGGTGGGCAAGGCGGGAGTCGGCCCACGGAGAGGACTACCCAAGCCTCGATCACTCGGGGTAGTTCTTCCTTCATTCCGAAGGTGGTGAACTCCAAACCACTCACAAACGGCGCCGGGCCTCCTCCACAGTCTCCTCGGAGAGGTCACCAGGCAACACCTACACAAGCCGTCTAGGAGACGGCAACCTCCAAGAGTAACAAGTCTAGGATGCTTGCCGAGGATGATTAAGTGCCACACTAGCTATAACAATGAAGCAATGCACTTGGATTGGCTTAACTCACTCTCTAACACCTCACTAGATAAACTAAGTGCACAAGGGTGTGAGAGCTCTTGCAAGGGTTCAAGATAATGCAATGGAGTGCCAAAACCTTACCCTTGCTGCTGGGGAGTGGGTATATATACCCCCAACCACCAAAACTAGCCGTTGGAACCGAAATCCCCAACTCTGTGCTTTGCCGGTCAGACCGCTGTTGTGAGGCCGGTCAGACCGGACTACTTTGTAACGGCTAGAAAACTAGCCGTTACAGGGCAATCATTGAGCCCACTCAACCTGGTCGGTCTGACCGCAGTGTAGTGGCTGGTCAGACCGTCCATGGCTCGGTCAGACCGCCGTCGGCTCGGTCTGACCGGTTGCGGCTCTGGCGGCTCTGTCTCGCCACCAAAAACCAGACCAGTGCAACAGACCAGTGGGGCCGGTCAGACCGGCCTTACCACGCCGGTCAGACCGGCTAACAGGCCCGGTCAGACCAGCCTAAGGCCCACGGTCAGACCGCAGGTCACTTTTCAGCTCAACCGACCGTTAGTAAAATGACGATATCTCTTTGACTCGGGTCTCAGAATTTGGCATTCTTGGACTTTATGGAAAGCTTATTCAAAGGGCTATCCAACCCATGAACAATCCATCCAAGAAACACAACTTTTCTCAGGGAGAAAGGGCTCACACTCCAAAGGATACTCCACCGGACATAACCACATAAGGCTACCCAAACCTATAGGATTTGCCCACATCTCTCTTTGTTTAGGACTTGAGAAAACTCACCACACTTGGCTAGACAAGCCCATCAAATACACCTACATGCATATGAACTAATATGGCACAAGATCATCCACAAGCTCGCTTCATAGACCCCTCTTGATAGTACGACGCCTATCTAGCAAATCCGGTCTACACCAAACACCAAGACCGGGAAAAGACTAAGAAAACATTCTTAGCTACATTATACCTTTGCCTTGTGCCATCCATCTTGGGGTCAAGCTTGAGTCGAGATCAACACTTGTGATCATTTGATTCAACCATGTTTATACCAAGGTATTTACCATCATTTGTCAAGACTTTGTTCTCATCACAAGCTTGATTTCATTCTTGCCAACATGGCGATGTCCTTGGCTTGGTGACCATTAACCCATGGTATCATCCATTAGCCTCATCATAGTGGGACCTATTCCTTTTCACATCTCAAAGGAGAACATTAGTCTCAACAAATCGGTTGTCATCCTTCACTTGATGACCAACCGGTTGCATATGAAAGATATGGATATGTTTGTTGAGTATTCATTAACATCACAAGTGTCATATACTCGTATGCAACCTTAAGTGCAAAGATCCGATATAAATAATAGGTGAACAACATGGATCTAGAACATGCACAATAAATGTATAAGATTTGCCCCCCCTAAATATATGCATACAAATAAATATACATGAGATACAAGTGTATGCATAATTAGAGAATGACCAATGGGAGTTTATCCTATACACATAGAGAAGGCATATGTAGTAATGATGTAGACCAACATAAAACATATACATTCATGATCTCCATGTTCTTAATGTAAATGAGACTAAATAAGATACGACTCGAGTAAACATTAGTCTCACACTTATATAACAATAACATGGAAATCATATATATGAACCTCTCAAAAAGTAGGAGATAAGAAGTGGTACATATCGTTTTATCTCCATGCATTTCATCCTTATCATGATTAAGGTCCATCACCAAAGAATGCATATCTACCACATCTCATCATCGGGAAATAACCTAGTTAACAACTTATGAAAAAGAGAGGTTAATCCCATAAACATCAATTTATCATCTATCATCAAAGCAACAATTACACAAATTGTTTAATCCAAGATCTTTCAATATTTTCTCTTTTTGGTGATAGATAATAACCCGATATAAACAATATAGAGAGATGGGATGAAAGATGATTTCAAATCAAGGTAGAGATCTTATAATAAACAAAATATAGAATAAACTCCCCCTCAAGATGTGCATACATATGGATATAAAGGAACACATATGCACATAATCAATCAAGATTAATGACGGAGCTCACACTATATTTTGGATCCACAAGAGAGACCAAGTTAGAATATGTGAAGTTTAATACATACATCTCATCACTTTTATTTTCATATCCAAACGAGACTAGTCAAAGAAAAGCTCATAAAAACGTTAGTCTCATATTATTAGATTTGTCATTAATCACCAAAACCAAATTAAGGCACTTGAACTTACACCCATCTAACCCCTAGTGGTACTACACATTAATTTCTTGCAATTTGGAGGATTAGGACATCCCAAGGCCTTCTCTCTGTGTGTGTATTGCGCGCGCGGGGGCGGGGGGGGTGCATGGGACATGTACATCAACAATTAATATACTTTCTTAGCATGTGTTTGGTTTAAGAATAAGGTAGGATGGTTAGGTTCATTCCTATTTTTCTGGGTTTGGATATGGTTAGGTTTATTCCTATTTTTCTGGGTTGGGATGGACCTACTGCCTGTTTGGTTGTAGGGATGGAACGGACCCAGTTTTCTGTTTGGTTCGAGGGATATGATGGGTTGAAATGGTCCTATCCTTGTTTGGTTGGAGGGATGTAGGTAGGCTGCCTAGATAGAGTCACCTCCTCATATTAGTTGGTGAGGTTACCTCTCATATAACATACACATTACAAAATAATATTTAGACATGAATATCACACTATTTGAAAATAAAATACTTTCGTATAACTATTTGGAAATAAAATACAATTCATATCACATAGCCAACCCAAACACCAAAGTAAAATACCAATAATTAGCATACATCACTCCATATATCAATGCATGCATAGGAAGTTCAAGCCACACATAATGAGTTCAAGTCTTGCACATAATTGCAAATTAAAGTCTTACTAATAGTAGCAAATTTAAGTCTTGCACATGGTAGCAAGATCTCTGCCTCAGTTTAAGCAGCACAGTTCATAATAGCAAAAGTTGAAGCCTTACAGTTCAAACAACATAGTTCATAATAGTAAAATAACTACCCAACTCATTCAACAACCCTACGGTGATCCAGGAAACTTCTCACTAATGAACATACCAACCCAATGTAGCTTGTTTTCAAGCGGAAGTCCATCAAAAGCTCTAGCAATGTGAGGGTTAGCCACCGAATGAGCATAATAGAAAGATATGTGGATCTCATTTAATCTAGGAAGGCTTTTTAGGGTGTCAAATAAACCTTCTGGTATTTTATTGTCTAGCTCACAAGCCTTTCCTATAGCAGCGGCAAGCTTGTCACCAACGCTAGTGAATGCACTAATCAACACATTATCTTCACTCTCAGTTGTTTTGGCCTTCTTTGGCTAGCTTGTAGATGATGTTTCGGCATCAAGATCATTAGTGACAACACCATAATTCACCTCTTCAATTTCAATTTCAACATCATCAGTACCAAGAACTGAACTTGAGTCCTTTGCAAATTTTCCTGTAGCCATTTTGCTCCCAAATATTGTAAGCATCTCACCATAGTGCACAAGAGGTTTGTTAAATACTCAGCATCAGACTTGAGATCCTACCATTGAACAAAAATTTACAAAATCATGCACTTGCAATATAAAATTGAAAAGACCAATATAACTTTGAATAACGATAAAGCATGCCTTGATATAATCATTTTAATGCTTAACATCAAGTGAAATTATCTTCATCCCAACCAGCAGTACTCACTTTCCTTAGCCTATTCATCTTGGCAAACTTTTTCTTGCCATGTCTTCAAATGATTCTTAATTTGATCACCTGTGAGAGTAGTGCAAAACATCTCATTGAGAGTCCTCGCACATGCATTGAGATGGACTTGTTTGAACCCCGATGAAGTCCTAATTCCACTAGCCACAAGATTGGCTAGTAGATTCCCGCAGCTAGTTCCTTATTGCCACTGCCGTCACCGTCTTCCTTTCCTGCCGTTGCCACTGGCTATGGAGATGATGAGGGGGACAGGCGAGAGGAGGGATGGGAGGAAGGAGGACGAGAAGGGACGATGGTACGGGCGCCGCTGGCCCTGCTGCACGATGCCGACATTGCATGTGCAATACCGCCGTCGCCGCCCTCACTATTTTCCTCGATCTGTTTTCTCTCTCTGGATGGCACCGCCGCCCTCTCTTTTTCTTGGTCTATTTTGGTGATACGGTGAAGGGGACGAAACAATTGAGATAGGTTTACCCTCCCACCTGCGTGCAGAGCACGTGATACGCGCTACTCCGGATGTGGGACAGAGCGGTCCACCACTTTTCCCACAGGCGGAACCAATCCGCATATAGCAGGAATATTCCTTTTTGGACCCAACCCAACCCATGAAGCCTTTCAACCAAACACCTATAAAAATGGGATGGCCCCAACCCAACCCACGAAAACCTTGCAACCAAACACGTGCTTAAGGAAACAATATAGCTTATGTTAACAACACATATTCTAAAACTACTATTGTTTGTGATTGGAGTGAGTGGAAATTTTGTGCCAAACTATTGATGATTTCAGTTTATGAAAGAGTGTGAATTGTAGCGTATATCATATGAGTTTTTTCTATGAGCATCATAATCAACCCTTCTCTAAACTTGTTTTTATGAGTTTTCCTCGAAAAAACATCATAACTTACGGTAGAAGAAGTCCTCTTTCTGGGAAATGTTTAATCCTTGAAGTTGGCTATTTGCAATCACATAACCCTTTCCAAGTAAAAATGTTTGACAGGCCATCCAATCTTCCATCATCTTATCCATAGATTATTTAGATCAAGAAGTTCTAATTCAATTACTGGAGCTAATACAACAATAAGCTTTAATGTAAGAAATATTCCAAGTGAAGTACACAGTCACATCAAGTGACACAGTTAACATATGGCTAAATTAGATATTTGCACTCCCATCGAAGTGAACAAGGTTGTCATCGCCACACCGTGGGCAAACATTGGTTTGACTAGGTACCATAATGAACACAATACATGTACGGCACCCAACCACAACATTTGAGATAGGAGCACTAGCACTAGCGTCACTATTGGTCGCATCACTGTCATTGTCACTAGCATCACTATTTGTCCCCAAAACTGATGCAAGTGTGGGAGAGAGCACAGATGTGGGTGTGTAGACGTTGTTGACACTGCTCACTTCATCATATTCATCATCACTATCATACTCATCATATTCATCATCACTATCGTACTCATCATATTCATCATCACTATCATAGGTGTCTTCGCCTTCACTGTACCAATTGTAGTTTACATCGTTTGTTCCCATGGTGGAAGGAGAGAGACTGGAGGACGTTTGAGAGAGAGTTGACCATGGGGCATGTGATACATCGCCAACCTACAAGGAAAGAGATCATTACCGCATACATATATAGGTTTTACATGCAACAATATAGATACCCAAAAAAATGTTCACAAGCATAAAACTAAGAATTTACATTAGGTATTTGGCCATGCACATCAAAAGGTTATAACAGGAAAGCAAAAGCCCATACATAGTGTTAGCTACACAATACCTTTAAAAAATGTGTACAACACTTCGTAAAAATGTGTATAGCACTTTTTCATAAACAAAAACATGACACTTTTTCCTCACTACCGACAATATTAGTGTTAAGTACACAATATCTACTACGGAGAAGGAGGAGACATCTTGTGTCTACTACATTGCTTACTTATAAAATCATGAAGCAGTGACCTAAAAGAATAATTTATGAAACCTCTGCAAATAAACTTTCTAGCAAAGATGACCATAAAAATATGTGCTTACAAACCTGACTGCCCTGGGGTTGCTCCAACAAGGATAGTGACACCTCAGAGCTAGAGTCCTCCATGCACATACCCATGCTTCCAATGTTTGCTTGCCCTTCTTCATTTCCAGTGCTAGCTTGCCCTTCCCTGTTCTGTTGTTGTAGCCAGGCGGCAACCGTTTCCAAGGTAATAGCAGCCATGAAGAACCACAAAGGGTGAGGAGAGTTGATACGAACTTCTACGCGCAAGTAACAGGTTTTTATAGCAAGTTTCTTTGTTCTAAATAGGTTACATATTATTTGTAGCTATAATTATCCAAGGAGCCTTGGCTAAAATATTTATTTTACACGTTATCTTGTAACGCAAATTTGATGGTGAGAAACTAATGATATCTTTTCTTATCTTAAAAAGGCTACAAATCTATTTATCTGGTTGCGGTTACAATTGATCAATGTTTTAAAAATTATATCGTATCTTTTTCATTTAAAAAATCACAAATATGTTTATTTGTTACGGTTACGATTGATCTATGCTTTTTTTTAAAATGATGCTAACATAACGTTGTTCTAAGTTTAGCTACAATTACGCTATTGAATGCTATTTTAGATTTGTTTCACATAACTTGTGTCCTAGTTAGGAGTTATAGATTAAGGGAATGTTGCTCTGCATGCCAGAAGGATATTTTGCGGGCATGAGTTATACATCTTGGTTTACTTCTAAAAATTTTATAAAGTGTTGCACAAACTAGTACTCAAAGTAAAACTAATTAACGTGTTAGTCCTTGATAAGTATCGAGCCAACTGGAAAATTATTAAGCTTTTAAAATAGAGTTGTTAAAAACAATTAGTTGACGATGTATAATGTTTTGCCACACCAACCAGCATGGTGCAAGAGGCACCACACTACCTTGTCTATCGAGCAATGATGTTCTACTCCCACATAATATTTATCCATATGTTCGAATGCTACAACATGACAACTCTTATCAAACCAATTCATGAGTTGTGGCAATTGTGTTTATTGCCATGGTTTACTTGCCAAATATTTCAGGTTTAGAAAGCTAAGTACAATATAGGACACCAAACACACATCACACCACACTCGCACCACTCAACACGCATACATGCGTACTACGCGTCCAAACACAAGTTTTTATCTAGAGACTTCAAGGACTAAGCCCTCTCACGTTTTAGAAACCCTAGCTAGGGATATAAGTGAGTTGGCCCACGAGTTTGCTATGGTAAATTAACGTGCGGGTTTAACGTTGTGCTTACCGGTGTGAGATGATGCCTTGATTCCAGCTTGGTAGGGTGCTACTACTCTTGCTGCTTGCTGGAGTAATGATGCGACTACCCTTTTTTAACAACAAAAATAGTTCACATTTTTTGCCTCTGTTAAAAAGGCACAAAGCCAAAATGCTGATACATCAGGATGCAATTCAGCCAATAATCCAAGACCCATCACGATGTGCTTCAATTGGATAGATAATTTGTGCTACAGAAACAATTGATGTACTTCAACCAGATAATCCCATGATTTCAAGGAGTTCTGATTCAAGCATACATCAATCATATATATTCGTTGTATGGGCATCACAGTCAATCCAAGGCATGCCTTCTCCCTAGCTTTCGACGGTTTCAACCAAACACCACCAAAATCTATTACTCCATCCGTCCCATTTTAAATGTAGCCATGGTTCTCCGCGCCCAACTTTGACTGTCCGTGTTATTTAAAAAAAATTAAAAAATTTAAAAACAAAGTCACGAGTAAAGTATTATTCATGTTTTATCATCTCATAACAACAAAAAATACTAATTATAAAAAAAATCAAATAAGACAGACGATTAAAGTTAGACGCGGAAACTTATTGTTTCACTTAAAATAGGACGGAGGTCGGAGGGAGTATTAAGAAAAAAAACATCGTGAAAGTATAATCCAGTCGCCTAAACCAAATCAGAGATTTGCCACCCCTCTACTATTAAGAACAAAAGGATTGACCCCTAAATGCACGAGATATTAGGTAGTAGTAACACGCTTTTTCTTAATTTTTCTATTACATTCATGTGCTTGGCCTGCTTAATTTTTCTTTAATTGATCGCGATGAGGCCGTCAAGACGGTCGGCGGCCACTGCTGTAGCGATGGGGATGAGCAGGTTGTCGGCCACTGCCTTCGGAGGAAGAAGACAAACGAACCAGACAGAGGATGACATGTGGGACCCACTATTCCATTTTATACTACGAGTACGTACCAACCGAACGTGCTGCCACGTCAACACTACAGCTATCTTGCGGCTCCAATTATTGATGCTTAGGAGAAATGTAAGTAAAAGAAGATCAAGCAAAACTGACAAAAAATATTTTCTATACTTAATAAAACAAGAAATGGAAGATGAAGCAGAAATTATTCCAGGCACTGACTGCATTCACAGGAGCAAAGAGAAGGAAACTAATCATCGTCCCCGAAACGTCCCGGTCAGGAGGCTTGAAAACAAGCATTACAACCAGCAGCAGCACAATCCGCTGTGGCAAATGTCAAAAGCAAATGGAAGTGGGTTCTACATATTACACAAGGTAAAAAAAGAAGAAAAAATAATAAAGGGAAGAAGAGAGAAAAGGTCGAGCTAACATGATGGATTGGTGGTGGTCCTGAGCTTGCTCAGAATTGCACAACAGGATAAGGGCCTCGTCGGTATGACCAAACGGGCTAAAAGGCGAAACGGGGGGATGATGGATGATGATCCCAGGCCAGATGCTCCGAGATAAGGGAGGCACACCAACGTGGTTTTTCCTGTCCCTGCAAAGGAGAGGAGGAGACACTTGAAGAGCTTACCACTGTTGCCGCGGCCCCGGCCTCCTCCCAGATTCCGCCGACCATCTGCAAGAGCAATCGAGTGGGGGTTAGATGGGGGCTCATGCTCATCTGGCAAAGCCCCCTATCCCAAACTGAACGGTAACAATCGCGTTGAGGGGAATTTTAGAGCTATGAGTAGCTACGATCTGTACCGGGGGCGGAAAGAAAACAAAAAGAGTGGATAAAGATTGACGCAGAATAAAGGTTTGCTCAAAGCATCATGTTGCAAGTACTATTATACCCAGTTCAATCTTTTCAGGAATCAGCCTTAATTTACACTTTGGATTTTATCATAGCAGAAGCTTCCTCATGCAGAATTGATTTTGTATAGAAGTTTAAGGATAAACTGTTAATTTTATCTTGGAAAAAAAAATGCAGGCTGACATGAATCGTTCAAAGTCAGTCCTGAGCTAAGCAAATTATATCTGAACAGAGTGAGCTACAAGAGCCACCAGATACTCCTAGTTTTCATGTTGAGAGGCAATGGGGCATGCAATGAGAATAAAAGGATCTAGTGACCAAAACGAGCCAAGGTACAAAAAAAAAACGATGCAAGTTCAAACAGCACTAGTATTAATAGGCTAACAGAGTAACAGGCAAACTCATTAACTATAGAAAGGCACTTTGAAAATAATGTATTGAAAGGGGTTACCTTATGGAATAAGAGGATTCCTTGCTACTCTCAGCTAGCTCTATAGGATTTTAACAAAATTTGGTGCATCATCCCTCGCCCCAGCAGTTGTGCGGTACACATATAATTTCTCCACTTTAGGCAGATCTCCATGGTTTTCCTCCATTTCATTGCTACCATCCCGCTCATTTATGACCTCAACATTGAGCATCGGCATCTTTGACGCAAGGACTTGGCACCCCTTTAACGTGACATTGCAAGATGACATCCAAAGGGATCGCATTGTCTCGTACCTAGCAAAATTCCCCAAGAGTGCAGCATCACCAAACGGGCTATCTCTTATCTCCAGTTTCCTTAAATTCTTGCATCCATTCATAACATGCATCATACCCTTATCACTGTCACCAGCAAATGCTATAGAAAGCATCTCAAGTTGTTTTGCATATTTCCCAATATACATGAAAACTTTGTCTGTGAGAAGACCAGATATTGACAAACGTTGTAATCCCTTGCACTCACGAACAATAGCTCCAAAGCCTTCATCTAATGGTTGGCTTGTCACAACATCAGGCTTCCCTGGCTCAAGAATACAAAGTCTGAATCGTGTGAAATTTGGACAGTTCTTGGCGACAGTAACTAGTGCAGCATTAGTCATTTGGTGACAGAAGTACAGTAGTGAGTTCAGTTTTGGACAGCCCAAGGATACTGCAACAAGTCCCTCCTCTGTCACTGCAGAATAACCAGCTACGTAGAAATCTGATGGAAATACCCTGAGTTCTTGCAAGTCTTTGCAACTGGAGGCCACCACTTGCAAGCCTTTGTCCGAGATACAATCCAGTACCTGCAATATAAAGGCTCAATACCGTTACTTGCTTGATATTACCAAAGGGCAACAACAACAACAACAAACAAGAATAAGTACAAACCAACAAGGGAACTCACCCAAAGGCGTTGGAGCTTCACACAGCGGCTAATCATTTTTGTAAGGTCAGAAGCATCAAGTGTGGGGGCATAGCTCAAGTTCAATCCTGTCAGTTGAGCACACAGGGGGTAGATAAATGACAGGCAAACAGGAGAAGCATCCCAGAATCCAGACAAACTCCTCAACATCTTGCATTTCTCCAGAGCACTGGTAAGCTTAAAGTAGGACTCAGTTTGGAAGTCATCTGTCAAATTCCCTGTCCCCAAATCCTCCAAGTTAGGGGTACGCAGTAGTATCTTTGCAAGTGTATCTACCGATACAGATCGATTCAGCCTCAAACTCCGCAGGTTTGGGGACCTGCTAACAAGTCTCTCCAGTGAACCAGCATTAACCTCCCCTTTGATGCAGGCAAAATTCAATGAGACAAGTGATGTGCAGGAATCAGGGAAGCAGGAAAGCCACCTAGGCCCTCGATCCTCCACTTCATTTTCCTGCAAATCCAACTCCCTCAGAAGCCTAGGCAACAGAAAGAGAAGAAAACAGTGTCAGCATATAAGCCATAAAAATGAGTGTAACCATAACAAATTAAAACCAAAGCAACAGTAAGTTATTCAGTAACCTAAACAGAATTTGCATCCATCCCTAGCAAGTAGTCTAAAGAAAATGGCCACAACAATAAAGCTCATGCCAGTTGGTTCAATATAGAACAACGGCCACAAGAATACCAATTCATCTAGTAAACAACAATCACAGAAGAAAGCCAATAATGGAAGTGGTAATAATCACATGCACTTCAATTTAGAATTGCTCTGTACAAGTAAAAAAGAACACAATGAAACATCACAGAAGATGAATGCCTCGATGTAAAACAAAGTTCGAACAGAATATAGAAATGCCAGATGCATCTTGTTCCTTCAAACACTGCAAAGGTCCCCCCTAACCCCCTATGTTCTATGATTAGCAAGAACCTGTAGCTAAAAGATGTATGAAATTCAACAGATCAAAATCGATCCATTCAACTCTAAACTGCAGAGAGTATGCAACTACAAACTACATTGCCAAAGCAGAGAAGAATATCACAAGCTCACAGCAGCGATTGAAACATAAAAGAATCTGAAGCACTCACTTGCAATGGCTCGCGACGGCGGCTAGCCCGTCAGTGCTGAACCCCTCGCAGCTGATAAGAACAAGAGCCCTGAACCGCGGGAACGAGCGAGCCAGCAGCTCGAGGCTCTCGTCGGACACCACCATCCGCTTCATCCTGAGCTCCTCCAGGCCGTGGCATCCCCTCGCGGCCGCCTCGATCCACGGCCCCGCGTAGCCGCCCCAGTCGGGGGGCACGAGGTTGAAGTCGGCGAAGTGGGGCTTCCCCTTCACCGTGAGCGCCCGCACGTTGGGGAACCGCGCGGCGACGCGGCCGGCGCGCACGGCGTAGCAGTTGCCCACGAAGACGCCGCGGCGGCTCAGCCTCTCGATCTCGTACCACACCTTGCAGACGAGCGAGACCGTGTTGCGGTCGCGCTGCGCCGGCAGGAAGCTGAAGATGTGCTCCACCACCTCCTCCGGGAAGTACGTCATGGCTCCGCCGCCGCCACCGCCTTCTTCTTCCTCTTCCCCACCACCACCGCAGCCGCCGCCGCGGGAGCTACACGATAGGATCTGCTTCCTCCTCCACGGCTCCAGGTTTATTCAGAGAAAAAAATCTCTCACAAACAGGAAACACACTCTCCCCCTCTTCACTTTCACCTCATCATCCACCAATCCAAGAACACGCAATGCTCTATCTCAAAGTAGCAGCAGGAGCAGCATTCACATGGGTTTCAGATCTGGAAGGAAGCGAAGCAACAGGGGGGCAGTTACCGCATCCGACACCCATGCCCCTATTTTGGACATGAGAGGCTTCCTCCCCGCACACGAGCTGGCTGACTCCAAATGGGCACAAGGCCAAAACGAGGAGCAACGATGGCGACCTCCCCGAACCGAAACCAAACCTGCATGCACGAGATCAGCGAGGAAAAAACCCCCACACCCAACACCACACCTCGTCAGCTCCAGCTCCAATCTCCGCTTGCGAGAAAATGGAAACGAGCAGAACAGCAAAAAGGAATCCGCGAACGAAAAAACCTACCACCTCCACCACGGTTTCAGATCCACGCCGCCCGGAAACCGCCAGATCTAACCCATCAACCCCCGCCTCCTCCTCCTCCCCCGGCGGAGATCACGCGCCGCGCCGCCGCCGCGCGCGCAACCGTCCTCTTCCTAGATGGCGTACGTGGAAGCGAGGAGGAAATCAGCCCACGCGTAACGGCGGCAGCACGGGCCGAGCCCCGAGGCGAGGACGCAGCGACCGCGAGAAGAGGAGGACGGCGGCGGCGGCGGCGGAGGCGGAGGCGGAGGCGGGGAGAGTGGTGGTGGTGGGGGTGGAGAGGAGAGGAGAGAGGTCGAGATGGTTAAGCTCGCTGGAGAAGAAGAGGAGGAGGAGGGTGAACCGGGGTAATAATGGTGGTCCGGACCGGTTCGAGCGGTCGGCGGTTGGGTCGGACCGGGAGTGGACCGGGGGGAGGGGGGCGCATGTGTCCCTATCCACCGCCTCCGGATAAGATGTGAGGGTGTCAAGAAAAAGGCACCGCAATTGCTACGCGCACCCCGCCTTCATGCGCTCTCCTCCAAATGGTACTCCCTCCGCCCGTGAGAAAATGGAGATTTGATACTCTGCAACCTCATATCGAGGTTTATTGTCTAAATAGTGTCAAATCTCTTTCTATATTGGTTTTTTTCTTGAACGGAGGGAGTATGTGCCATGTGTGTTTAGTAGAGGTGAGGGAGTATGTTTGTTGGACCATGTTCAGTAGAGACGAGGGAGTATGTTCGTCGTTGATTCGGTATTGAGTCGTACTTGTAATTGTAAAACGATTTACAGTTTAAATGGGATTTATAGTTGTAAAATCCACCACGAAGTGGAGGATTGGATCATTAGCAAAGAGTAAGGGCACTTTCAACTTTTTTTTCTTCAAACCTCTAACTTTTCCATCATGTCAAACTTTTCTACATACACAACTTCCAACTTTTCTGTCACATCGTTCCAATTTCTTCAAACTTCCAATTTTAACGTGGAACTAAACACAGCCAAGATATGCTTCATAATTTCGTCCCAATATAAATGCATCAACATAAAGATATGATGTATCCTAGGGCTGCAAATTTGATAGTTGTTTATCTAGATTCCTAGTCATGTCCTAGGTGCACTAATATTGGGACGGAGGAAATATACTACTCTCACCTATCCAGATCAGAGTTTACAAAACCTTACGGTAACCTTCTTAGTTTTTGAAACCATGGTATACCTCGCGGTAAACTGAACGGTTTTCATGGTAACCGCGCGATTACCGTGATAACTACCAAACCGTGGAGGGCGGTAACCTTATCTAAAACATTTTGGTAAACCCATATCAAATTTTTATACTAGATTATCTTATTCTCGGACGGAGTAAATATTAACCAATCGATTTAGATTTGTTTCTTGGATTGCCCCAAAATAAGAAAACTAAGAGGTTGGTGTTTACAAAGCTCAGTAGGAATTTTATGTCAATCTTGGAGTTTGTGATCGCGCGTGACGATATATGATCGTATAAATATCCTACAGAATTCATTGAAGGAAAAAAAAAAGAATCACTGACGCATTTCTATTTGTGTTTTGTATTTAGTTTAGAAATCACTACTTATTATTGCCATAGAAAAATGGTGTGAAAGAAATAACTGGCTTGTAAGCTTTAAATTTCTACACCTATTTTCAATGGTCCTACCAAACATTTGTCTTTTATTTCATCCAAGAACATGACTTTAGTAAGCATGATATTTAGTATTTTTTCCACCGCTACATTTTCACGATAAAGTCCGATAAACCTCATACAAGAGCATATTTTAGCATAGGTTGATATCCCTCCTCATCCTATCAGTTATGATCAATGGAATCTCAGGTGCTAACGAATAATGTGATGCTACCGTGCTAACAAATAGGGGTGAAAACGGTAACGGTAATTACCGGCCGATCGGCGTTCGTTTTCGACTTTCTACCGGCCGAGTCATATGGAAATGGTAATCGACCGAAACAAAAATGGAAATGGTAAAAAAATATGGAAATGAAAACGGAAATGGTTTTGCTGTTATACCGATCGTTTCCGTATTTACCGTATTCTCGCGGAAATTACCGTTTCTTATAATATGGTAATTACCATATTCTAAATATGTCGATATCATACGACATGTCTATACTTGATCTACAGCTTATAGATTGAATGACTCTTCAATAAAATCTCTAACTTTTGTACATGGCTAAAGTGAAGTTAATTTATAATTTATATAGTATAAGCTTGAATTTATGTGTATATATATAACATACTTATGTAAAGTTAAATATATGTTTTTATAGTTTAATGTTTCCGTATTTGTTACCGGTTTCCGATCTGTACCGACATGTTTCCGTCCGTATTGTTCCGTTTCCGGTTTTCCGATATTTCCGATATCGTTTTCGTTTCTGACTTTACCGTTTCCGATTTCGTTTCCGAGAAAAATATGGTTACGGAAATGGTTGAGGCTGTTTTTCGATCGTTTCCGACCGTTTTCATCCCTACTAACAAACACATAATATGCTTTCAAAAAGTCAAAAAAATTGAAAGAAAAAAAATCTGAGATGTGCACCAATATAACATGAAACATGTAGCATCATATAAAAAATAACTCAAAATCTGATCTATGCATGATAAAGAAAATGATAAATCCGTGCTCCAAATAGTGATCAAACGGTTACATTACTATTCAATTGAAGTTTGACTTTTTTATTCCTCCTTGCATACATCGAATTTTGAATTGGTTTTGCCATAGTGTTGCACATCTCATAATTTTTCCACATTTTGTTTATCATTTTATATGCACCTTTTAAGTTTAGTAGCATAACAATACCTGGTTTTTTAGATAACAATGGTTTTTTGAATTGGTTTTTTAGTAGCATAACAATGGTTGGTAGCACTTGAGATTCTCAACTATACTCCCATACGGTCAACCTCAACCTACCATTTCGTATCGCAACACACATACTTTCTCCAGTCTAGCACATATCATTTGCCATTTCTAACAACAAACACAACCACACTCGCAGCTCATAGTCGAGTAATTTATGAATAAAACGTTTATATACGTGTACTTAGCAATCTAAAAGTAAAGGCTGAAAAATAAACTTCGATAAAAAAACTGTCAAAATCAACTTTAAATCTAAGGTTGAAAATCTAAAATTTTGTTAATAAATATAATATAAACATACGTGAAAATACGAGACCGTCGAGTTATTTCCGTTCCGCCCGAAGTGAGTATAAGAAAGGGGGTAAGTAATGGAGGTGCCCCCAAGCGTTTTTGGGGGCGTCCACAGGGAAAGGAAAGCAAAAGCAATGGTCCTGTCATATCCTGCTGCTCGCTGCCGCTGCTGCGCCTGTTGCGACGTGCAACGGCGTGTGTAGCCGCATACGGAGCTACTCCTACGACCATACTACTACGACTCCAACAGTAGCCAGTACTAGTCCTACTACTACTACTCCCATTGCTTCTCGAAAACTCCTACTATCTCCGTCCCAAAATAAACGCAATAGTCAAAATCCGTATCCAACGTTTGACCATCTGTCTTATTTGAAAAATTTATAAAAAATTTTAAAAAAATTAGTCACACATAAAGTACTATTCATATTTTATCATCTAATAACAATAAAAATAATAATCATAAAAAAATTTCAAATAAGACGAATGGTTAAACTTTGAAAATGAATAGTGTAAAACTACACTTATTTTGTGACGAAGATAGTAATACTCTAATCTCTAGTACTCCCACGAAAAAAATTAACCTGATTCCTCAGGAAAAAAAAACCCTAATATTAGATATTAACTTACCATAATAATATAAATCTGAACATATACCTTTATAAATCTGTAATACTAAAATATATCAATATCATGTCTTGAGTTGGTTTTGTATGAGAAGGAGGAAGTACTCCTTACCCCTCGGTGCATAAAAAACAAACCTATAAGGATATGATAATTGTTTTATTACTATAAATTTCGACGGCATATTTTGATTTGTATTAGTAGAACGAATTATACCTCATATTAGATCTGTTTTTATTGGCAAAGGAAGTACATCTAAAACAAATAAATTTAATAATGTAATATATCTTAGTTATACAAATCTAAATAATATGATACTCCCTCCGTCCCATAATATAAGAGATTTTGAGTTTTTGCTTGCACTGTTTGATCACTAGTCTTATTCAAAAAAAATGGAATTATTATTTTTTTGACTTATTTTATTGTCCAAAGTATTTTAAGCACAACTTGTCGTTTTTTATATTTACACAAATTTTTTGAATAAGACAAATGATCAAACATTGCAAGTAAAAACTCAAAATGTCTTATATTATTAGACGGAGGGAGGAGATAGATGTATTAAATTTGTTTATTTGTTTTGGAAAATAGGAGTACTACTCTACTGCTGCTGCTAGCTACAACTACTGTCGCCAGCGTGCACGCGATTGCGCGATGAAAACGGACGGAATTGATGATGACGATGGTGATGATGGTGTTGTATTATCGCTCGTTCGTTGTCACCGTCTTTTTTATTTGTTGCTGGGCATATTGGGTTTTTTTAGGGAGGAGTACTCGTGTGTTGTAGGACGAGAGAAAAAGCAGCCGCGAATAATAAATCGCTAATGATTGATCGGATGTAAAATGACCTCACTCCCCCAATACACACCGTCCTCCTCTCCCCCCAAATTCTTCCAATCCTTTTCTCCGGATGGATCATGGATGGATGGAGGAGGTCAGCATCCACCCAGGGTCACCCACCTCTGCCTACTGCCTTCTCCCCACAAAATTTTCCACTCGGTACCGGGATTCAATGATAGATTCAAATACGCGAAAATTATGTATATTAGAGCATCTCCGACAGCACTGTTAAAATTAGGCTCTCTATTTTCGTATTTAGAAAGTTGAAAAAATATTCATCTTCATATTTTTTATATATATATATATATATATATATATATATATATATATATATATATATATATATATATATATATATAGGTAAATTAACTGGTGCTACATGGAGTATGGGCTCCAAGATTCAAATTAAGTATATACCCAATTTAAATGAGTATGAATTTTTTTAAATGTTTAGGTATGAATATTAAATGAGTATGAATTTTTTTAAAATATTTAGGTATGAATATGAACTTCTTTACTAACAAGTTCAAACAAGTTTGAACTGAGTTTGAACTTTTTTTGTTATATTTTGGTTCTAGGTATATAACATCTAAACTTATAATTCATTAGGTATGTAATAATGAATTGTGAAATAAAGTTGAGTTTGAGTTATTTTGCTTTTAGGTATTAGTATGAATCAAATTCATATACCTAGGTATA